ACAGTCTGGTCTAATCTGTCTTTATCTCAACACTTGGAGCCCCACGTTGGGCACCAAAAACGGATTGTCGTGGTTTGGGTGAATTCACCCTTTTTGCTTGCAGCTTGCAGCCAAGCCCAGCCTGCTCTATCACCCCCCTCACCCAGGGAGTAGGGGAGAGAATTGGAAGGAAAAGGGCAAGGAACCTCATGGGTTGAGATGAAAACTCTATTTACTAATTAAAATAAAATGATAATGATAACAACAGTGATAACAGAATGTGCAAATGAGTGGTGCTCAGTACTGTTGCTCACCACTCGCTGACCAATGCCCAGCCTGTGCCAGCCAGCGATCCCGGAGCAGAGGTGGATCCGAAACCGAAACCCCGGAAGAGCAAGCCCAAGAGAATACCCCTGTGTTTCGGTCAGCCCTGGTTAATATGCTGACATGACATGATATGATGTGGAATATTTCATTGGCACATCCAAATGCCAGTTCTGGGTTTTGCTGTTCACTGCGCTTCTCCCTCCCAGTCCTAATGCAGCTGTGAACCAGCCAAACACGGTGACCCTGGGCTCCAGCAGCAACTAATAACATTAGTACTTTTATCAATGTTCTCATATCAAGTTCTACACTGAAACTACAACACAGCTATTCTAGCTACTAAGAGGAAAATTAACTCTATCCTAGCAAAACCAGGACACAGGCATACGGGTGTTTTCCTGCCAAACAGCAAGCTTGGGTTGGCTGTGCTCCATTGTTAACGTACCAGGCTGCACTTTTTCAGCAATGTGTATGTGGTGAGATCCGTGCTCCTAATAATGTTGCATTTTACTTTAGACAAATGTCGAAAGCAAAGCTGAACTGAATGATGCTACTACTGAGAAGTCAGTGTCTGAAAGTGTTCCCAAAGGAATGGGTGTGAGGACTGTAATTTTTTTGCTCTTAATAGTTCTGTGCAGCTTATGTTTCAAGTTGCTGCTTAACCTCCGTATTAAATCAGTGAAGAGGTAGTGGTTCTTTATTCTCAGGCTATTGTATTAGGTGCTTCTTTATCCTGATACAAAAAAAAGTTGATTTGTTAGAATGATCTGCATGTTTTCTTGCTTGAAGCTGGTGGGTGTAAGCCACAAATGTTTGACACTTCTTGATCCTATAAAGGACTATGCTCATCACTAATTTTAGTAAGAAATCATTATTAGCTCTGTAAATTTATGTCCTAATTAGTTTGTCTGCAACAGTGTTACCACTTCAGCTACATGATGATGTTACCTCCTTCCAAAGGTGCAAAGAATTTTGAAATAGTGTTTATTTGGCCATATTTTCTTCCTCTTTATGCAAGATTTTTCAAGACTGAGGTTTTTTTAGTGCTTTGTCTAGTGAGAGTCTCAAATTCAGTGTCGTGATTTCAGTTTCTCTCAAGGCTTAGGGTCATTATAATTGTTAGGACACCAATTATGCCATTCCATATAAATGCTGTTTAATGCCCTTGCTTTCCAAATCGTTTTCTTGTCTTATCTGAAGTCCTCTTCCCAATCCTTGTAAATTTAATAATCTGTTAATCAGTCCCTCTAGCCTCCTTCATGTTTGCTAGCAAGCCTTAAGGAATCAAAGCATAATTTTCTCTCTTGATGTTTCAAAATTTGAGTGCAGTATCCTAGGTCTTCTCTTTCAAACAGCATTTTGAAACTTTGTAGTGATATAGAAGCATTGCTTAGATAGTGCCATCCTTAAATGTGCATTATAGTGTTGTAATGACATTTGGATTTTCTGGAGATAATATGCTACTGACTTATAGAATCATAGAATGGTTTGGGTTGGAAGGGACCTTAAAGATCATCTAGTTCCAACCCCCCTGCCATGAGCAGGGACACCCCCTGCTAGACCAGGTTGCTCAAAGCCTGATCCAACCTGGCCTTCAACACTTCCAGGGAGGGGGCATCCACAGCTTCTCTGGGCAACCTGTTCCAGTGTCTGACCACCCTCACAGTGAAGAACTTCTTCCTAATATCTCATCTAAACCTCCCCTCTTTCAGCTTAAAGCCATTTCCCCTTGTTCTGTCATTAACTGTCCTTGTAAAAAGTCCTTCCCCAGCTTTCTTGTAGGCCCCTTCAGGTACTGGAAGGATGCTATAAGATCTCCCCGGAGCCTTCTCTTCTCCAGGCTGAACAGCCCCAACTCTCTCAGCCTGTCCTCATAGGAGAGGTGCTCCAGCCCATGGATCATCCTGGTGGCCTCCTCTGGACTTGTTCTGACTGGTCCATGTCTCTCTTGTGTTGGGGGCTCCAGAACTGGACACAGTACTCCAGGTGGGGCCTGAGTATGAGAGTGCAGTAGAGGGGGAGAATCACCTCCCTCGACCTGCTGGCCACACTTCTCTTGATGCAGCCCAGGATACGGTTGGCCTTCTGGGCTGCAAGCGCACATCGTCTGCTCATGTTGAGCTGCTCGTCTACCACCATTGCCAAGTCCTTCTCTTCGGAGCTGGTCTCAAGCCACTCATCACCCAGCCTGTTTTTGTGCTAAGTTAGGAATGTCGAAACCAAATTCTGTACGTGAGGTTCGTTTTTTACTTTGCCAATCAGGAGTGCAGACCTTTGTGATTATACTCAAGGGTGTTTGTGCTGGGGCTCGTCATTCTTTTTCTCAAGCTTTTTTGTCCTGCTACACAGCAGATATCCTAGAAACAGAAAAGTAATAGTGGTCTTAAAATAGTAAATTATTGGCATAATGTGGTTAATTAGGTAGAGATTAAGGGAATGGACCTAAATACAAAAGAAAAAAAATCACTGGGAGATTATTGTTCAAAAAGGCTGCTCATTAAAACTGTGCACAACTATATGAGAAGATGAATAATGATTAATGCCTTGTTCATTAAGGAGTTTTGGAAGTGAATTTTTGTAGGACTACTTTAAATGAAGGAAGAGATTCAGGTACCCTCTATTCATATGGAGTCCAGAAGTTGGGCAGCATGGCCATCTGGGCCAGATAGTAACATGCGGGAGTTGCATAATTTAAAATGTAATGTTTCAACATATGGTCTTTGTTTTAAGCATTATGATGTTCACTATTAAATATGTTAATTGCTTTAGGCTTTCAAACTGATATCTGCAGTGAACGTTTATCAGTAAGATCAGAGGCTAGAGGAATGAGTTAAACATTGAAGGCATCTGTATGAAACACCTAGAGATGGCTTTGTTGCAACTTTGATGCGAATCTGTTCTGAAAACTTTGAAGTGTGAAGCAACAAGCCTTAGATGGAAAAAATGAAACATTCATGGTGGTGGGTGTAGCCTGAGAAACCTGGATTTTATACTTATGACTTGAATGGTTCTGTATCCCAGTATTAACTCTAATATGTTCTGTTTCAGTTATGCAAAAGGGGACTTGGATATATCATACATCACTTCCAGAATTGCTGGTATGATAGCTATGTCTGTCTTAAGAATAATTTCTTAGTGTTCTTAATATATCAAAAAAGTGAATACTTCACCTGATGTTTGTTGTTCTGTCTTCAGTGATGTCCTTTCCAGCTGAAGGTGTAGAATCTGCCATCAAAAATAACATAGAAGATGTGCGGTTATGTCTGGACTCTAAACATCCTGGTCACTATGCTGTGTACAATCTCTCTCAAAGAACATACAGGCCTTCAAGATTCCATAACAGGGTGTGTATAGTTTTTGTATGTTTCTGTAATAGGTCTTTCAACACAATGTCTTGATATACCTTCAGCTTTTTATTGTGAAATTTGTTAAAATGGGCTGCAGAATCAAAAGGATTACAAAAGAATAAGCACAAACATAAGGTCAGAGTAACTTATCCTCTACTTGTCTTTGCTTCCAATCCAAACTTTTAACTAATTGAAGACTAATCTTTCATCTTACTGACTAAAGTCTGTTTCCTGGGATAGTGAAATCTTTGAAAACTTATACAGGTACCTTAAATGTTTCAGATTTAAATGTAGAATACTTTACATAATTTAAAAATCTTAATAAAATTTCATTCTCTCATGCATTGAGAGGTTTTCCTTGTCAGAGGTAGTACTCCTTTGGCGACTGATGTGCACAGCCTGTTCACTGGACTTTCTCCTTGTCACACTACATACCATTTGACTCCTATGTAGCTCAGCTCTGGCTGACTGCTTGTTGCAACTGCCTGAAGTATTGGTATAGCTTACCTGAGCCTCTGTTAGCCTTTCTGACAGTTTCTCAGCTCCCATGTGGCTCGGCCCTAGCTGTCTGCTTGTTCTACTGTCTGAAATATTGGTATAGCTTAACTGAACCTCTGTTAATATTTATGGCTATTTCTCTGATACTGAAATGACGACATTTGCCTAATTCAATAAGAAGGCAGTGAGGACAGCTTGTCAGGTGCTGAGATACCGGACTTCATTGTCTGTTCCTAGATACACTTTGACTGTCCTGTAAGTAACTCGACAGTGGAGACTGTTACCATGTTGTGAGTTGTCTAGCACTGGCCACATTAGAACTCACCTAGTGAGTCTGTAGTGATCATGCTCTTTCCCCACAATACTGACTGCTTAGAAGCAGTGTTTGTTACAGGAAATGCCTTTCGGACCTTGTGCTGCAGAGCCATTCTTAGCATTACTTAGTTATCCAAGTTCATTTAAACTGTCAGATTGAGGTATGTTTGGAGAAGAAAAGGCTTCAGGGAGACTTTATAGTGGCCTTCCAATACCTGAAGGGGCCATACAGGAAGACTGAGGAGGGACTTTTAAGAAGGGCAGGTAGTGATAGGACAAGGAGTAATGGCTATAAACTGGAAGAGGGTAGATTTAGATGAGATATTAGGAAGAAAGTCTTTCCTGTGAGGGTGGTGAGGCACTGGAAGAGGTTTCCCAGAGAAGTTGTAGATGATCCTCCCTGGAAGTGTTGAAGGCCAGGTTGGATGAGGCTTTGAGCAACCTGGTCTAGTGGAAGGTGTCCCTGCTGATGGCAGGGGGGTTGGAACTAGATGATCTTTAAGGTCCCTTCCAACCCATGGTTCTGTGTTTCACATGTTCTATCTAGTGCTTATCACTTCCTTCCTTTTCTTTCCTTGTAAACATATAGACAAGTAAAGTATTGTCACGCCTGAAAAAAAACATTACTACACCTCCTTGAGTGGAGTGAATCAACTTTATTTGCATCTGGTTCAGTATGAGGTTCAGGCAGAGGCTGTTCCAACATGGAAGGCAAAACTTAATCATGCAGGAAACCTCCCGCATGATTATTTGGAGCAGGTACCTCAAAGCAGAATCTTCAGCAATACTTTTTAGCACTAGGTTGCTGGAAAATTTACTGAGACTGACATAATGAACTGACTTATTCATCATCCTACAAAGCTGTGAATCTCTGTTTATGGAATGATAAATTCTGTGGCTAGGAAGTTGTTTACCCTGGGGATGTTTTTTGGTTCTGCAAGTCTGAGGTGCCTATACACTGGTATTCCTATGTATTGGTACTGTTAATGGTAATATGAGCACACTGAAATCCAGCAGTGATCTGGATGTCTTCTGGTCTACGTTTATCTTTTTGGCATTCATTTTGTCTTATGATCTATATTTTGCTGGGAAGGAATAGTAGATCATAAGTTGTTAAAACTTTGTAGGTTCCTGCCTGCTTTATTAGCTGGGAGTTTTTAGGAGGTTTCTACAAAACAGTGTCTTCTGAAAAAAAGGCAGCTATTTTACTTGGAAAACAAACTCTTCAAATATATTGGGGAAATTTTCCCTGTCTTTGAAATCCAGTTCACAATAAGCAGTGCCGACTTAACTTCATTATTCAGTGCTGGATGAGAGCAGCCCTGTCGGAAGCTATGGAAGCTTAGTTTTTCTTTAGTGCCTGCAAAAGATGAGTATGGCAAGCCTTAAACTTGATCAGAGGAGAGCAGCTTCTGAAATTCTTAATTCTGATGCTTTGATTAGTATGTATTTTTAAAAATTATATATTCTTATTTTCTTGCTGTGTAGTATCTGTATGGAACTTTTATAAATTTCTTCAACCTGAGTTAAAGTTAATCACAGTTTTGAAGTCTTCTCTTCTAGTTTTGAGTCCTGCTTGGAATAGCTTGCTTAGAGAGATTGTGCACTCTCCATTGTTCTGATAATGATCAAAACATTTTGAGCTTAAAACATAGCCAAAGGAAAAGAAGGTAATGTTGTATAGTGTGCATCTTGTAACAAAACTAGTGTTTTAGCAGAAAGTAAATGGTAAATCAGAAAAAAAGTTAGTTCTCTGCTTTTTTTGACTATACCTGCTTTACTAAATTGTTATCTGGTTTGTAGCTGTAATGCTGCAAGATTTAAGATGTTCTGAAGCCCACACTGAATCCTGTGGTCAATAAGTTTATAAAGGACTGTTTGCCTTAGCTTTTATTCATTCATTGGTGACTTTGCATGAGTTTTGATTAGCAAAAGAATGTTCAATTTAAATATCTTCCAAAGTGACACTTTCTGAAGCTGCCTTGTTTAATTAAGATACTAGAATATAGTGAGAAGCTGTAGGAGACTTTGTATGTCAGACTGTTTCTTTCAGCCTTTTTTCCTGAGCTTGGCACAAAACCAATCTCATTGAGAATTTTTTGTGATAGTCAGTTTATGTAGTTTATTTCAGAGTAGTCCTTGAACTCTTATCTTTGTAAGAAAACATGTTGCCAATAGTAAAACTTGGGTCTTCTACATTCAGCAGTTGTGGTCCTGGCTAAAAAGAAATAGGAAAAGCTTGCTTTTTAAAGTTGTTTACGTGGTCCTGGCAGAACATCTACTCTTCAGGCGTTGTTTGGAAGCTATACCTCAAGCTCAAGGATCAGGTTTCATATACTGCATTCTTACTGGACAGCTTAATTTAAGAATATAGACTTTCAGCAGTGAAGCTTATTATTTGGTAGCATTTTGTATCACTAATTGCAGAAGGAATATTACTTAACTGTTGAGGCTCTTTGAATAAAGGACAAATGTAGAAGCAGACCGAATCTTCCTGGGTTTTTTGCTTAAGAATATGTGAACAAATCAAGTTGAAAGCTGTTTTACTTTGTTCCTTTTTCTAAGAAAATTTCAGATAGTAATCTGAGTTGTTGATACTTCTAGTGTAGCAGACTGTGGACAGGACTGGACTTCTATGGCACTTCATCCTATAAAGTGCTGCTTGACACTGTGTGAGACTACTTTTCTTGATCATCTTGCTTAATTTTTGCCTGAAGGTGGCATTGAAGTGTAAAATTGTCTCTTACCTACACAGCTTATCCTATGCAAATCTATGTGTTTTTCACCTCTGTTGTCTCTCTCATTGCAGGTTTCTGAATGTGGCTGGCCTGCAAGACGAGCACCAAGTCTTCAGAATCTTTATAGCATATGCAAGAACATGCATTTGTGGCTGAAACAAGACCAGAAGAATGTTTGCATTGTGCACTGCCTTGTATGAAAGTGGTTTAAGTCTTAAGTGCTTTGCTCAATCCAGCTTTAAATTGTGAATAAGGATGCTAGTATCTACTCAGTGTGAATATTACTGGCTTTCTTTAGTGTGAGGCCTGGGGACAATTCCATCCTGTTATGTCTTTATGAAAGTTATTGCATAAATTTTCTCTTTAGGCAAATTAGTAACCTAATGTAGCCCTTGCTTACTTGCATGTAGCATGGAAGGCAGTATATAGGAGGGATTAAGGCAAAGTGGCCTTTGGCTGAAAATCTCCTCTACAATTTCAGTGTTTGCTCTATTTGTTGCTCATGTTTTCTGAGTGACAGCTGGGTGTGCACTGTTTGGCACTACTGTCCATTTAGAATGTAATCTGTATCTGCAGGATTGCAGAAATTGACTATGAGGCTTTTGGTGGAACTTGGTTTAGTTGGCACCAGATTGCCATGTAACCGCCACTGTTCTCTAATGTATCATTAACCTTGGTATATCCCAAAAAACAATAAAACTCTTGATAGAACTATCTCATGTTAAACATAAAATTAAAATAATAGTTACTATGTTCAAGATTTGAAAACATGAGGTTACTGTTATGTTTGTGTAAGACAATTGCATGTGAAATTTTGATGTTCTTATTTTCCTGTGTAGTACAAAGAGAAACATGACAGTTGTTGAAATGCTTATGATGCTGCTGGAAAGCATTCAAAATGAGTCCTTTGGTATAGTCTGTATGGAATAATCACTATCGGAGTCTAAAAGAGGATTTGCTAATCTGGCCAAGTGTATTACCTTAAATAGAGTTTTGCAAGGAAAAAAACAGTTAATGCTAGCTCCTGAGAACCATTGGGATTTTCAGTGTGGCTGCGAGGTTAGGAATCTAATTCTAGTTTAAAATTATACTTACAGTATCTCAGTATCACATGATTTCTGGTCAGGTTGGTAAGAAGCAGATGTGATGAATTAGCACCAGTTTTTTAACATCTTTCCCTTGAAGTGTTTCCTTTAAGGTACATAACTCATTCCTTTTCCTCAGGTGTGAGGGAAGCTTGTATGTAGGTGGCCGCATGCCAGATGTGATATGAAGAGCATACACCAGAACTATTAGAAGTTAATGATAGCTGCAATATGTATTTTGGATTCATCTAGCTGGAAACTTTTGTAGATTTAAAAGCTATGAAATCTAGGTTGAAAAGAATACTTTTTTTTCTGGTAGAGATAGAATGTTTTGGTCTAGTATGCTTTTCTTGGATAACAAAATGTGAAGAGTTGCTTCTTGTAAAGGTGTAACTGCCTCTTGGTGGCTGGGATTCAGAATTAGGTAGGGCTTCCTGGTCTTCTGATCTTTGCTGTAGAGGTTTGTAATAATGCAGGGAATTGTTAAATTTTTGCATTGTAGTTTGAGTGATCCAGTTGAGAACAAGCAGTTGAAAACTCGGTTTAAACGGCAGCTCCCCACTTCAGCTACAGTTAAGTCTTTCTGGACTGGAAGTGACTGGGATCTGTTTCTAACTGACATCCTGTTCTGTTGATATTGCAAGGCTGTAGCACATATGCCAGAGGCTGGAGTAGCTCCTGTACATCTGCAGTAACACATTGCTTTGTGTAATTATCTGGGGCCCTGCAGTGATGATCATCCTTCAAAACTTGCATAGTTTTAAAGGTGTGAGTACAAGATCATCTTGGTGGCAAAGAAACTTGCAACTGGATATGCTGCAGCTCTTTAAGTGTACTTAAGTGTTCCTTAAGATATCTGTGTTTAGGTGAACCTAGTTAAGATAATTATACACACACTAGGAAAAGTTATGTTTATTTTACAAAGGTTATTTCTTTTCCAAATAGTTTAGGCACATCTAGCCTTTTGAGGCTTTGAGACAAAGCTTACACTAAAAATCTAGCTTTTTCCAATCATAGTTCTTTATTGGTGCCTTAATGATTGTTTATGCCTGAGGACTCTTTATTTTTGTAGCCAAGATCCATCATCCTTGTAAAAAAAGGAGAAAGTGAAATTCTTACTGTCTCATCTCTGTATGGGAGTGTTTCTTTTGGTCCCATTATGCAACTTACCAAGCTTCTTTCTGAAGTGCAGTATTTCTGGTCAGATTTGTTTACTCACAAATAAGATGTTCTTTGTTTTGAATCTTGTATTTCTGGTTGTAAAGTGGTCTTTACAGTCTTGTGAAGTTGTACTCTGGCCTCATGCCACAGTTGCAAAGGCTTTGCTGTGACTTGCTTGCTGACTTTGTACAATGATCCTTCTCCCCTCAGTTTGTTGCTTTAATGTTGAAGTGGCTTCGTAGTACAAATGTACATAGGTCACTGCTTGTTATGCTGATCAGTGTTGTTTCATTCTTCCTTTGTCTTCATTAATGTTTTGTCCTAGGCATCTTGGGATAGGGACCATGTTTTTGTTCCATCTGTGTGAAATTTAACTGAAAGGCAGGGCCTGGGCCCACAGAATTATAACTAGTTTAGTTTAGAAATGATTTCTGGAAATCACTGGGCTTGCTAGTTACACCAGCAGTAATAATATTGATTTGCTGAACTGCTCTTTAAAGATGTGGCTCTTATGTTGCTGACAGACCTTCTCGTTGGTCTAAGTAATGGTTAGAATAGAAGCCTGGCTTTGAAGGAAATGCCTGTTAAAATACTTCCTTCTTCCCCACTTCTACACTTGTATGCCAAATGACTACCAAAAAATCTGTTCCATGTTGCTAGCGAAAAAACTTGAGAGGTCCTGTTCTGTCAACCATTACCTCTTCTGAATCTTCAGTCTTTTTAATGTGGAGATGAGTCTGGGATGTGTGTAGCTGTGGTCCCTTCGGAAATGTTCAGTGTTTTCATTTCCTTCTCTTAGTTCTGTGGCAACCTATTGTCAGGCATTGGAACAGGATGCCTGGGGAAGTGGTTGAGTCACTGTCCCTGGGGGTGTTTAAGAGTGTAGATGTGTTGCTTGGGGACACGGTTTGCTGGTGGACTTTGCATTGTTAGGTTTATGGTTGCCCTCAATGATCTTAAAGGTCTTTTCTGACCAAAACCATTCTATTAGTCTCAGACAGTTTTATACAGAAGACCGAAGAGTTTAGTGTGGCTTAGTTCTTCAGAGTCTTAGGACTTCTCTTGTAGCAAAAGTCTGTGGTTATCAGCCAAAAATACCACTAAACTGGGGTTTTAGGTAGCAGCCAGAAAACAAAATTAAAAATAGGTATTAGTGATAGTAAGGTAGTAAACATCAACTGAAAATTTCAAACAGTGTTAAGCTAAAGCAGTTATTCACATGTGAGCAAGCAGATAGTATTATATTATCTTTTGTATTTTGTGCAAATCAAATGAAAACATTTCACATTCAGATACAAAATTCAAATCTAATGATTGCACTAGACCTTTGACTTTGTTCCATTAAGGAGACAGCATGTTCTTCAGTAACTTCTGTAATGCTTTTTCCACTAGGCTTAATAACAAAGTTACTTTTTTTTTTTTTTTTTTTTTTTTGTAGGATGGAAGAGCAGCTTCTGCTGTTGTAGTTTGTTCTTTTCTGTGTTTCTGTCGTCTCTTCACTACTGCTGAAGCTGCAGTTTATATGTTCAGTATGAAACGCTGCCCTCCTGGCATTTGGCCTTCTCATAAAAGGTACGGTATCAGTCTGTTTGTCGGGTACTGTTGAAGCAAGTGGTTATGCAATTTTGAATATACTACTATTTTTACAGGTTGCTTTTTACAAAGAGAAGTGATTGTAATAGTGTCTGTGTTAGAATAGCAAAATACTTGAAAAAACAGATGTATCATGGGTAGAGAAAGTAACTCTGAATTTTGTGAGCCCTTAAGTTACTCATGATGTTCTTACCAAAATGTCAAGTATGACCTGTAGTGAAGAAATGTTAGGAATGAAAACAATGGTATGCAGTGCTTTTGAATGCTCTCTTAAGTATAAAATCCTCTTCCACACATGGAAGACTTATTCCATGTTTACTAGTTTAATACAATAGGTTTTACTGTGTCAGAACACTACAAGTGGAAAGACCAGTAATGATTTCTGTCAGTCTCTTTGGAATAGGTAGGAATACCTTCTACTTTTTAAAGGCGTGCATGCAGAGGTGACTTTTGTATGCTTTGACAAATATTTTAAACTGATTATTTGATTTAATTTGATAGATATTACAACAATAAAATCTCAGTAGCAGGTGACACTGGTAGTAAGGGTGTTTCCTACAAAAATGATTAGATTTAGAAAGGTGAAAGTTAAGGGTTAGTTAAGTACAAATGATGGGTTATGCTGTTACACAGATTTACTTTGAGTATATTTAATGAGTCCTCTACAAGATAACTTATATTCATGAAGACAAATTTAAAGCCTTTAGGAAGCTTTGAGTCACCAGCTTCAGAACTGCTGTGCAACTTTGATCGATAACGTGTAAGATACAGAATAAATAGTTCTTCTAATTTGGTGTTTTAAGGCCTTTGGAAAAAAAAAGTGGCTAGCTTGTTTTACAAGTGAGTCTATGTAAAGCTGCAGACCTAAGGCAGTGTCTGGAGTTGTCTGGAAGGGACACAGGTACAGGTTAGTTCACATACTGTGCTGTATTCAATTTTCTGGGCAGTGTATTTTTCTGTTGTGATGCAGCCATCAGGCTTTCGTACAGAAACTTTGTTGCTGTCCTTAAATTGAGCAGCTGGCTAGGGGTCATAAATACTTCTCATGTTTCTATTTAATTTTCCTTTTGTGAAATTCTATCAGTTTTGAAAATCTGTTTGCTGGAAGTGCTATTAGGTATTCCTAGTGTTTTATTGTTATCATCACTGCTCAGTGGCTGAATATGAACAGAAGTAACTCCCCTATGTGTTCATCTATTTTTAGAATTTGGGTCTCTGGCTAAATGAACACCTTTTGATTTTGACAGATACATTGAATACATGTGTGACATGATGGCTGAAGAACCCATTATTCCTCACAGCAAGCCCATCTTTGTCAGATCGATCATCATGACTCCAGTTCCTCTTTTCAGTAAGCAGCGTAATGGCTGCAGGCCTTTTTGTGAAGTTTATGTGGGAGATGAGAGAGTAACCACTACCTCCCAGGAATATGACAAAATGAAGTAAGTACAGGTTATGATTTGCTCTGAAGCAGCACATTATGTTTTTCTAGACTAACTTCACTGTGAGGAGAAAGCACGATTTTTTGCATGTACTAGTTATGCAGAAGGCTTCTTTTAATGTGTGGAATAGCTCCTCTGTCCCCTTTTAGCTGATCTTGAAAGGTAGATCATGGAGAAGAAACAACATGGTTATAATAGCAGCTTGGATCTGTTCTTGCAAAAAGTCACAGTGATGGTGAGGTGGCACAGTGGGCACTGGGAGGCAGAGGTGAGCAAGACTCTTTTTCCTCTTACTCCATATGGTATAAACTAGGAAGGTTGATCCCTGGTGTAAATGTACTGAACTGAACATCATGTCTCAGTCATGGAAATAGTAAAGATCCCCCAGGCACCATAGCTGTAAGGTGAGTGCATATTAGCCGCTGTACAGCTCTGGTGTCAGCTGTTGTAATACAGCACAAGGATTGCAAATTGTACCAGCGGTAGTAGATGTAGATAGTCACAGACAAAAGAAATGTAAGAGAATACCAAAGTCCTTCTAGCTTTCTTGTAAATCCCAGCCCTGTAAGGAGTTTAGTTAATTTGAAGAGAGCAGGAACAGAAACAGCTTTGGGGTGTTAGAACATTTTTCCCTCTTTTTCTCTACCACTGTCCCTCAGTGGGAGTCCTGACATACCACATCAGTGCAGCTGTTTCCTCTCTGCACCTTTCTTTGGAACAGCTTTCTTCATAATATCCTATCTCTTGCGTGTCTCAGCAAATGTTTCTCCACTATTTCATTTGAAAGCTGTAGATCTAAATGTTTGTTGCTTTGCTGTAGGCAACTGACAATCTAGTTGTTTTTGGAGCAGCTTTTAAGTTTTAATCATTTAGAGTTAATTCCTTGTCTGTAATATGATCTTCAAGCAGATTTTTATGGGTTGATATTAAAGGCCTTGGAGAAACCAAACTAAACATAAAGTACTACACTTTTTTTTTAAACAAAATTAACTGCAATTACGTTTTTTCTTTAGGGAGTTTAAAATTGAAGATGGGAAAGCAGTAATTCCATTAGGTATAACAGTCCAGGGAGATGTTCTCATTGTGATCTATCATGCCAGGTCAACACTAGGAGGCCGACTACAAGCCAAGGTAATGAATAAATTTGTAAGGACTAGCAAGGCTATTCTGCATCTGTTGTAACTACAGTCAGGGGACAAATACATTGTGGATTTGTTGGTTTGCTGTAATTTGCATTCATGCAAGACCAGGAGCTACACGTATCTTCTATAGTAGCATTTTTCTGGATTCTGTGCTGATCAGGCATGGGAAATTAGTTTTTCTGTCAGCAGAGAGTTGGGGAAGCTGGATGGCTATAATGAATCAGTTTGGAAAAGGCCTATAATTCTGTCTGGGTTGAATCGTTGACTAGAGAAATTGCGTAAGAAAAAGAACTCTTTGCATATCTTATGAAATGTCCTTTTAAACGTGGTACATTAAAAACTGTTCTGAATGACAGATATGACAGATTTCTTTATTAGTGTATTGCACAACAAGTTTTTCTGAGTGTATGTTGTTCAGAAAAGTAATAAGGGACGTGCAATTTCAACCTCTAGAACAGGGACTGAAAATACTTCACAGACTTTCATATTTGACCGCGGCGAACAGGACGGGCAAACAGGGCATG